GAAGTATCAGCTTCTATTGCAAGTTTGTTTTATAGTGTATTGATCTTATCAACCAAATGTAATATAAGTCTTGTCAGTTTTTATCAAGGGTATAGCGAGATCCGAACTAGAGTGTTTCACTTGCTCACTAACTAAGCACCAGTTACTCAGTGGGTGTATAATGCTATCTACTCAACAAATCACTATCCAGGGGATAATGATCTATCTAGTAGATAGCAGTATCTACCCTCTCCACTACCCAGACCTGTTCTTTATATTAAACAACTAGATTATGAGCTTCAATAGAAATAAAGAGCAAATAATCTAATATTGTTTTAGTATAAATCTACTAGTCGTTCAAAACTTTATCTAAATCCTCTTCACAGACACTCCGAAAACGCCAGGAAGGGGCCATCATTTTGTTAGCAAGGGCACACTGCTGCGCTACTCACTATCTCTCACAGAATAGATAGTGAGTAGCATAGCCAATCAGAGAATATCATTCGTGATAGAACGGTAGTAGATTTATACTAATAAAAATCATACTGTGGCCAGCATTGAAACTTCTGTTCCCCAGTTTCTATGTTGATAAAAAAATGTTGCTGACTGGCAAATGAATATTCACCATAGAATTGAGAGGTGAAGGTGCTTGGATTGAGCAAACATTCTTAGCATCCTGTGCTTAACTCTGCGCTCAGCAGAACTTCCCTTGTCAAAACCTCTCTGTGGAGGAGACAGTCACTAGGGGATAACACCCACCTCTCCACAACCCCCAACATGCTGTACTGATCCCACCTCAGTGTTAGCTTGTCTGCCAGGTTACAGGCAAGAGCAGTTCCTTTGTTAGTTCAGGTAGAAAAGATTTTCCAACTCTGNGAGAATATCATTCGTGATAGAACGGTAGTAGATTTATACTAATAAAAATCATACTGTGGCCAGCATTGAAACTTCTGTTCCCCAGTTTCTATGTTGATAAAAAAATGTTGCTGACTGGCAAATGAATATTCACCATAGAATTGAGAGGTGAAGGTGCTTGGATTGAGCAAACATTCTTAGCATCCTGTGCTTAACTCTGCGCTCAGCAGAACTTCCCTTGTCAAAACCTCTCTGTGGAGGAGACAGCCACTAGGGGATAACACCCACCTCTCCACAACCCCCAACATGCTGTACTGATCCCACCTCAGTGTTAGCTTGTCTGCCAGGTTACAGGCAAGAGCAGTTCCTTTGTTAGTTCAGGTAGAAAAGATTTTCCAACTCTGTGGTGATACCAATATCCGGGAGTGCTCCCCAATATGAGCTGTATTTCAATGTGCCTGCCCAAAGGGGTGACTTCTGAACAATCTTCTTCAGTACTAGTGTTGTGGATTGTGTGAAATAAGTTACAGATCTCAAAAGATCAGAATACGGTACAGATTTTACAGGTGAAGTCTGAAATATAAATAGGATGTGAAAAATAATATATTTTGGCTTGCATGGAGGAGAATGATTCGAAAATCAGGCAGCATGCCCAAAGCTTAAATTCCTAGGATGAATTCCCCCTTTCCCCTTCCTTTGAGTGCAAATGTTGTTAGTCCATTTACTTTTTGTTGGTCTGTTCCTTAACTATTGTATGCAACAGGTCAAAGGCATCTCAGCATGCCAATCTTTATTCAAATAAAGTGTTGAAAATCCTAGCCTAGTGTTTGCATTACCACTTTCAAACTAGTCACAAGTTACCACATTCCATTTAGAAGTGATTTTCATTTGATGCAAGGGAAAAGTTTCATTTGCACATAAGAAGTCTTACTCCAACCTGATTACCACAATTGTTTTGACATGACACAATCCTCGATCAAGCATGAAATATATACTGAGCGAATACAAGATGCAATGCAAAGTTTTCCTATCCTCGTGATGGTGTTTGCTGTGAGCAAATTTTCACAATAAATTGTACTGATTTCTCAGCTGCACAGGAACATTACCACACTGACTGACAATTTTTCTTTATAGTTTGGGGAGAAGACCTATCTCTGAAGATTTGCAATGTGTCCGTTTTGAATGAAGAGAACATAGAGGATATCACATGGCCACACAGATATGAAATTTCTCGTCAAGTGTTGAAAAATATTTCACGAGTGAGCACAGCAAACGAGTGAAATACTTTTCAACACCAGAAGAGCAATTTCCTATCTCTGAGCGACCGTGTAATGTTCTATTTATTATATCAACACCAATGAAATAACAAACCTTTTGACTTTTGCAGTGAAAGGCCCAATTTATTATGTTACTGTAGCAATGCAATCTTTTCCCATGTTAAGATAACATGTTATTTTCAAGGGTGTAGATATCATGTTTTGGAGTGAAAGCTCACTTGGTATTCATTAGTGTTTGTATAGGTAATCATACAGTTTCGAGTTCTATTTCGAATTAATTTCCATGAGTGAGTTTTTCAAAAAGCTGAAATTGCACGAGCCAGTTCGGCGAGTGGAATTTCAGCTTTTTGAAAAACTCACAAGTGCAAATCAATACCAAATTGAACTCGAAACCGTATGATTACTTATTAATGATAAAAACACGAAAAACTTTGCGTGGAGGAAGTGCCGCAAGACCTTTCTTGAAGCCATTTTTTCTCATTCAAGAAAACTTTTTTCAAAGTTTCCGCACAAAATTTTCCTCATCATTTTACGTAAAATCATTGGCTTCGAAAATTTCCTATTGTCTTTCAGCCAATCATAATC